ATGGTTCAGTCTGAGAGCAGGGGAGAGAGGACGTGGCCTTGCAACGGGATGACATGAGAGGAGACAGGAAGTCGGCCGGTGATGAGGCCGCCCCGGACACGACTTGTTTGTTCTGCCACTAGTGACCTTCGATTGCCAAACAGGGAAGTAGGAAGAGGACCCAGGTCCCTCTGTCTCCATAGCCGTCTGACCCTTTCCCACAGCTTCCTTGGCCTAAAGACCCCATTTTTTCCTGAAGGAGCAACTTGAGACAACTTCAGGGAAGGAAAGAGAGGTGCTGAGCTGTGATTCTGCCTACACCAGTCACCAGTTACGTGACCTTGGGCCAGTTGCTCCACCTCCGAGGGCCTCAGTTTCCTCATCTGCAAAATGGGGTAACAGTTATGATGAAGGACTTTAATTGTAAAGCTCCAAGAACAGTGAAAGGCACTGAGTGAACACTGTTTACCGTGTAAAGGTGTTTGTTAAACAAATGTTCTGGATTCTGGAGTGGGAATGACAAGGCTTCACGCTAGCACCACACTGGGCAAGTGCTCGTTGCTTCCAGAGCCAGGTGCCCTCACTGTTCCATCTCACTGTCGCAACTAGTGCCCAGACCATGGTACAAGTCAACTATGTGCTGCATGACCAAATGGATGCGCAAGGCAAAGCCTAATGCATGAAAATTTGGGGGGAAAATAATGTATGATGGTTAAGCACTCAGGATGGGGAGTCACGCAGACTCAAACCCTGGTTTCACTACTAAGAGACTGTGTGACAATCAGCCAGTGAGCCTGTCACTTTATCTACAAAATAGGACAAATAACAGCCCCTGGCTGGTGGGGTGGCTGTGGGAATTAAGGGAGATGACATATAAAGTGTCCAACCTATGCTCGCAGAATTATCCCCCCGCCCCAGGGCCAGTTGGGGGAACCGAGGCCCAGGCTCAAATCCTGCCCCGCCTGGCTCGCAGGTAGAGGGAAGGTCTTACTGGGTCAAACCAGGGCCAATGCAGAGATGACAGATTCAGTCTGAATTCTGGCTCAGCCGCACCAGCTGTGACACCTCCCTGGGTCTCAGTCTTCTCATCTGTACCAGAGGGTGACAAGCCCCACTACTCTAGGAGGCCGTGTCAGCGAAGTTGCACATTCAAGCCACTAAACTCAGCATGTGCTGGTCAGTAAGTGGCTGAGGTTGTTATTGTCCCCGCCTGGGGGTTCTAACTCTGGATGCTTGTCAGGGGGAGGTCTGCTCCGTCCTTCCTGGCATTTACTACAAGCTTTGTGGGAGTGGGTGGGTGTCCTGAGGCAAGGAGGCCGCCGAGGGGAGGGGGGCAGGCAGTGGGGGTGGCAGTGGGAGCAGGGCTACCCTCAGGGGCTCCCTCAGGACTCCTGGGTGCAGGGGGCTGGATGGAGAGTGGAGCATCCTACAACCCCTGTGTGGGACACAGAGAGATGGAACAGGAGCAGCAGGCCCTCATGGGGCTGTGGAGGCCTGAGAGAGGAAGCAGGGGAGGAGAGGAAGGAGGTGCCTCGGGTTCTGGAGCGGTAGGCTAAGGTGTTGAGATTGGTTCTGAAGCCCCTGGGAGCCACAGAAACTTCTTGAGCAGAAAAGTAACATGCTCAGCAGCGCAAGAGTGTATCTGCCCCATGTGTAGGGTGTGGACTGTAAAGGGAGAAGCTGGGGGCCAGTGACCAGGGAGGAGGCAGCCACAGCTCCCTCCTGGCCTCCCACTGGCTGTGTGAGGGCAGGGATGGAGGACTTATGCCAGGCAAGGCTGGCACAGCCACCACAGATGCCCTGGGAGGACAGCTGGGGTGGCCTGCTCCATGTGACCTTCACAGGGTTGCCAGAGCCAGTGAAGGGGGTTGGGGTGTAAGGGGGATGCCCTGTGAGAACTGTGGTCTTCTGGGGTTGGGAGTCATCTTAGGTGAATGGATACCATCAGCTCAGAGAAGCTGAAGCTGTGGGGGGCAGAAGTAGGGGTTAGGAGGCCAAGAAAAGAGGGCCTGGCCATGGCAAAGGGAGAGGCACAGCACAGGGGATGCCACCGGCCACCCTCCAGACCTCTGCACAGATTTGCTGTGACAGCCAGGCCAGGTGTATGACCCTCTCTGGGCCTCTGTTTCCCCGCCTTCCCTCCGGTTACATTTCAGAGACAATGAACAGCACTGCAGGAGTTCTTGGGCAGCCCCCACCCAGGAAGGGAGGAAAGAGGGTGCAGTAGAAGCCCAAGGAAGAAACCAGCCTCCCGACAGGCATTTGGAAACCGCCCAAACATGGAGGGACGTAGGCGGTGCGCACATGTGTTTGGTGTTGTGAGGACACATCCACGCCCACACACGCGCGGGCTGCCAGCGCCCAGCCTCAGACCCCTGGGTGTGCGGCCAGGAGGAATGAAGTCAGTCTCGGAGAATCCGCCCTGGACTCCCGCACCAGGCCTGGGGGTCTGATCTCAAGCACAGGGTTTGGCCTTCCTTGAACTGAGATTTTCCATGGTCCCAGCCTAGCAGGGTGGGAAGAGGAACAAATGATGGAGAAGGTACTGCTCCCTCTCTGGCCTCTCTGTGAGCTCCGAACAAGCCTGCACTCCGCCCCCCCAACACCATCCCCCCCATGACTAGGGAAGGGGCACCTGGAGGACGCAGTGCTTGGGTGCCTCCTCTTCTGGGAAGTCCTCTCTGAGCCCTAACCCTCTGACTGGGGAGGCTCTCCCCTGGGCTCCCCCAACCCATCTGCCACATGCCTGCTCCATCACAGCACTAAGGTGCCCCCTTTTCTATGCCTCCCCAGGGCAGGGCCTGGATTCAGCTTGGCATTTGGTATACTACCTTCAGGGGAGAAATGTCTTTAATCTCAAGTGAACCCTGGGGCTCAGAGGTAATGGCTAGAGGCCTTGCTAAGCACCAAGCAGCCCCATTCCAGATATGGCTTTGCCCTGGCCAGTCCCCCTCTGAACCTTTAGAACTTTTAGGCCAAAGAGGAGCCTTAGAAAACCCGCTGGCTTCAACGCTGAGTCCCAGGCCTAGCTCTGCCAGCAGGGCTATTTGAGGCCTCGGTTTTCTCCTCTGCCCAGAGTTAGACCGCTTCTGGCTGAGCCCCACTCTGCAGTCTTGCATTCTAAGAAAAGCTGCCACAAAAGTTCAGCCTGTAGATAAAATGTGCTCTCCTCCACGGAGCTCTAGGACTAGTTGGCGCACAGCTGTAACGTGCCCTGCTGCAGGGATGCAAGTCCTGGTGAGGTCCAGATGTGGGTGGGGCCACGGTGGCAGGAGGACACATCCGTCGTCACATCACAGAAGGGCCCTCCATCTAGCTCCTGTCCTGAGCTCCTGCATGTTCTCAACTGGGGTGCTACGCCTTGGATGTGAGGGAGTGAGTGCTACCAGTGGGGACACTCCTCTCCAGTAGCCCCTAGAGAGACAGGAGTCCCCGCCTCTCCACCCCAGAAGCAGCCTCTCACCCAAGGACAGTATGGCTGGAGACAAGGCAGTGCCCCCGTGCGGACACAGTCAGAGAAGCAAAGGCTGGGAGTGCAGTACCTGTGCCCCTGGGCCCCCGCAGTGCTCAGCCCTTACTGCTGGGCCCAGCACAGCAACCTTGGTGTGGAGCAGAGAATCAGGGCATTAACTGCAGCCTGAAAGAGGCAAGGCTGGCGTGGAATGCATACACACTGGGGGCTGAAAGGAAAACCTTGACCAAAGCTGACTTTGGACTTGCAGAGACAGGAGCAGGAAGAGGGGTTCTAGGACAGAGGTTAGGTCAGTGGCCGCTCAGCCCCGGCCGGACCACTAGTGGGCCCTTGCAAGGCAGCCCGTCTGCTAACGGCATGTGCGGAGGTGCCCGTCACAGGAAGGAAGGCTGCCCTTCTGCTGCGTCCTCGCGTGCAGGTGGCTGGGCTTTCCCAGGATTAGGTCGTATCTTCACCCCCACCCCGTCCACAGCTGCCTCCTGGGACTCTCCCCCAGGGCCAGGACTAGGGTGAACTGAGTGAAGAGAGTGAAGCACTGGCTTGGGGTGCAAAATTTAAGAGGGTGCCTAAAAACTCAGTAACTAAGAGAAGTAATATTTGAGGCAATATTTTTAAAAAATCAAAATTAATGCAAAAAAAATCTGACGAACAAAACATCAAAATTTCAAATGAGGGCTGACCAGTATTGACAGTTTTTCAGTTTGCCTCAGGCTCGCCTACACCTTGGCGTGGCAACATCACTGATTCTGTTTAGAAAGGGATGTGTACTTTTTTTTTTTTAATGGAGGTCCTGGGGATTGAATCCAGGATCTCTGGCATGCTAAGCACTGCCACTGAGCTATACCCACCTCCCCCACCCCCAATTCTATTTAAAATTTGGATATTTTGCTCATCTTTTCTTGCATTTTTAAATCTAAAAATGCATTACAATATTACATACCTCAGTTACTAAGGTTTTTTGGTGCCCAGGCCAGTGCCTCACTCGCCCTTCCAGTCCGGGCCTTGCAGTGTCCCCCTGAAGGAACTCTTGGTCTTCTAGTCTGGACTCCTGTCTGGGGCCAGAGCCTCTCTTTAACCTCCTGCTCATTCAGGCCAAGCTCACATATGCCCAGTGACCAGGAACCTGCCACACCCCCAGAGCCATCCCCTAAGGCATTTCTGACTCTGGTGCTCCTGATTCACCCTGCGTGGCTGGCAGAGGGGCACCTCCAAGAGTGGAGGACATGCCCTGATAGCAATGAAGGAGAGGTCGGGAGAGGGGCTCCTTTACTTTGTCCTTGGGTGACCCAAGCCGGGTCTGGAAGGTGCCTCCTTGCAAAGCCTTCCAGTCCCTCCACTCCCTAACCACCAAGCCTAGGTCAGAGCCCGGGCCTGCCTGGCCAAATCCTGGCACTGCTGTTGGGGCCTGGAGAGGGGAAGGCTGGGAGGTGGCAGCCCAGGGGCTGGGGCTGTCGATGGGGGCGGGGCGGGGCGGGGGGTCGTTCGTTGGCAGCTGTGAGCCGCCTTCCGTACAGCACGGAGGAGGGGCTGGGCTCGGGGACCTACTCACCTCGACCGTTCTGGTTGGGCCGGTACACGCTGCCCACACTGAGGCGGCCCTGCTGCGCGCCGCTGCGCTCCGAGCCCGGCGGGGGCGCGTCGGAGCTGCGCACCGGCAGGTAGGGGGGCTCCAGCACGCGGAAGGGGGGCTGCGGCTCCACGGCGCGCGGCGGGCTGTAGGCCTCGGGCGGCACGTTGCCGTAGGGCGGGTACCAGCCGAGGCGCGCGTCGCCGCCGGGCTGCGCGGCGTCGGGGCCCGGGTCGGGGTAGGCCTGCTCGAGGCCCGCGGTGCCCTCGTGGTACAGGCTGTGCGAGTAGCGGCGGTCCAGGCCGTCGGCGGGCTGCGGCGGCTGCGGCGCGTACGGCCTCTCCGGGGCCGGGTAGAAGCCCTGCGGCGGGTACTCGGGCTGCTCCTCGCCGCCGCCGCCGCCGTACTCCTCGTAGCGCGCCCGGGGCTGGTAGGGGTAGACGCCCCCCGCCGAGGCCACGGCCGCGGCCGCGGCCCCGGCGCCCAGGCCGCCGCCCGGCGTGCGGTAGTACACGTAGCCCTGGTCGTAGGTCCGCGACGCGGGGTCGTAGGTCTCGTACTGGCTGACGAAGGGCGCCTGCGGGTAGGGGAACTGCTGCGGGAAGGAGGGCGGCTGGCGGTAGGTGGTGGCGAAGGCCGAGGCCGAGACCGAGGCCGAGGAGGCGGGGCCCCCGTGCCGTTGCTGGGAGACAGAGGTGCGGACCCGGGCCATGCCGGTGCTGTCCCCGACGGCCACCTCGCGCCAGTTGTCGGGCACCTGGCCGAAGCCGAAGGGGTGCCGCGCTTGGCCGCGCACTGTGTCCGAGCCGACGCGGCCGGGCAGGGGCAGGGACAGGGACGGGGCCTGCCGACGCCGGAGGCCCCCCTGGCTGCGCCGCTGCGGGGCCTGCGGGGCGCCCGCCAGGAGTACCCGGGAGTTGCCCTCAGAGCGCTGCGGCCCCGCCGGCACGTACTCTGAGCCCGAGTTGAGCAGGCTGTACACCTGCCCGTTGTTCTCCCACTGGATCAGCTGCCGCCAGCGCCCCTGGTCTGAGCCCTGCCCCGGCTGCGCCTGCTGCCCGTGCACCAGAACACAGAGGCAGGCGCCCCACACCAGGGCTCCCAGCTGCCAGCGGGCTCGGGCCAGAGACATGGTGGGTCCTCTGCAGAGGCCTGGTGGACCAGGAGGCTCTCAAGAGCGGCCCCCCTGTGCGTGCTTCTCTTCCCACGGCCTCGAGGACAGGACGGCTCCTTGCCTGCCCCAGCTCTAGCTTTGTCCATCCTGGCCTTGTCCCGAGCGGGACCGCTCCTCCGATGACAGCATTTCGAGGCCAAGGGGTCAGGGCAGGGCAGGGGCGGTGCCCAGGGCTGCAAGAGGCTCTCCGCAGGGCACCGGACAGGCAGGACCGCCTGGGGGCCTTACATGGCCAGCCCGGCACTGGCTGGCCGCTGGTCTGGCGCTTTCCCACTCTGAATGAATAAGCAACAGGCTGTGAGCATTGGGAGGTTTCGAGCAGCCTGGTCCGCCTGCTGGGGCCTCTTCCGCGGGGCCCTACGGCCCGCCGGCTTTTAGCTATGTGGTCTGTCCCCCAGCTGCTGGGCTCCCTCAGTCCCTGCAGCTCCCAGCCAAGCCGCAGACCTGCCTCTGAGGAAGGGAATGAAGTAGGGAGAAGGAGGGGGCCTCTGGGGACTCAGGCCTGTTGAGTGGGGCCTTGGCAGGCATAACAGGGCCGAAGTGTCCGCATCACTCTGGGCATTTGTCTCTACTTTGGACCCAGCATCCCTGGTCTCACCTTACTGGCTTCCTGTTTGGGCTTGAATAAGCCCCTGACTCCACTTCAACCTTTTCCCAGGACCCCTGGGCTCCTGTTCTCCAAAGCCACTGCTGAGACACTCTCCTTGTATCTCTCAGCTGAACCACCCTCTAACTCTGGACCTCAGGTGCACCTTAGTTCATTGGGCCTGAGTGCAAAGAAGACGGAGCTTCAGCTTTTTTCCCTCTTGGCACATGCCCGGGCCTTACTCCCCAGTCTGTAGAATGGGAGTATGCCCTGTACTGAATAGAACTTGTGAAATCATGGGAGAGAGATAAAGTTCCCACCCGTCATCTGCCCTGCATCTCTGGGTCAACATAGCCTAGTAATGACCCGAGTGTGCACATGGATAAAATGAAACCCAGGGGCTGTCTTTGATGTAGGAAAGGGAGGCACCGTGTGCTATAAGCATAGAGCAGCAGAAGGGAGGATTCAGGAGAATGAGCCTAGTCCATTTGCTGTGATTAAGTTGCTAGGTGATCTTGGGGAAGTCCTTTTCCCATTCTGATCCATTCACCACATTTGATCAATGGAGGATTAGACCAGATGGTCCCCAAGAGTGCTTTGGGACGTTATTTTCTCAGCAGTAATAGGAGGGGCCTCAGAAATTTGAACACTTTGGCATCCAAGAAATCACCCTCTGAATGCCTCCCTTGGGCTGCTTTCTCCCTTGGCCATGGGAACTGGAGGACAGAAATTCCCCTCTTGTGCTTGTACACCAAGGAGGAAGAACCTGCCCCTAATGTGGTCTCTCCAGATTCCCCTTCTACTTTGGAAACACCTGAAGCCCAGGTTGGGAGGAGAGAGCCAGAGTGGGAATTCTTCAGAGACCCTGGACCCCGCCCCCCATCCTTGCCAGCCAGCATTTGTTGCCCATCACACTCTGCTTCAGGGTGAGGCTTAGTTCAGGTGACTCAGGGCATCTGTCTACCCCCATAATCCAGCCAGCAGCCTTTCAACACTGGTCCCTCAGCTCCCTGGGGTGGGGCCTGATCTCAGACCCCTGGCAAGAAGCAACTGGTTTGGCTCAGGACAGGGAGCCAGGTGCTGAACGAGGCTTACTGAGGGCTGGCACCAGGAGGGTTAAACCTTCCGTCCCTCTGGCTTGCCCCCTGCAGTGCAGGCCTCAGCTGCTTGGAATCCCTGGGGTCCTGTAGGGCCCTCCCGCCAACCAGATGGGCAGCAGCGCCAGGAGAGGAGGAGGAGAAGTGGAAACAGGCCTCCTCGGGGCACCCCCAGGCGGGGAGGGGGAGGGAAGAGGAGGAACAGAGGGAGAACACAGCATGGCTGTGAGGTAGGGGAGCCGCACTGGCAGAATGGAGGAAGCAGGACCACTCCTCTCCAGCCAGGCAGGGGGCAGGGGCTACCTCAGGGCTTTGGAGCTGCAGGGAGATCAGGGCACAGGCCATCATGCTCAACTGGCCTCTGCCTGGGAGCCAGCTCTTGGTGTGAAACCCTACCCAGTGCTGGCTCCTGCTCCTCTTTCTTTTTTCTTAATAAGGTCGAATCAGTGTGAGTCAGAGGAGCCAAGTTTCCTGTTAGGCTCTGTTTGAATAAACTCTGTTCTGAACATAGCTTGGGCCTCTGCACGGACTCCCTGGGCCAGGCCTGGCCCTGCCAGCCTTCTCTGCTGAGGCTGGAGACCTGGGGTCCCCAGGATGACCGAGTCAGGGTCCTGGCCTGGCCCCCAGCTGCTCCCCAGGGAAGCCTGGTAAGCTCTTAGAGCTTCAGAGTCTCCATCTATAACTTAGGGGTAGTAATACCTTTCTCGTGGTATGTTTGGGAGGATGAAATAAGAGGATTATGGAAAGTACCCAGCACAGTGCCAGGCATGTGGCCACTATTTTTCCTTTCTTCTGGTGAAAGAAGGGAGGGGTTCATCTCCAAGGGTGTTCCCCCCAGTTTTCTCTGTTTCTTTTATATTTCTATCCTTCCTTGCACCTAGCCCAGGGCAAACCCCGGGGGTTCCCTCCTCTCCACTCCCTCCCTCTGCCTTCTTCTCCCTTCCAGTTTGTGTCTCCTGAAGTTGCTGACAAGGCCCCCTCAGCTCTGTGAGCCCAAAGGAGCCTGCCTGGTTCCTCCTCTCCACGCTGGAGGTCTCCTGGCATCCTTTGGCTGGAACCTGTAGGGGGGGGCCCGAGGGAGACCTGGGCAGGCTGCAAAGGGTGCAGAGCTGAGGTCAACTGAGGGCTTCGAGTCACTGGGCTAGGCTGGGCATGAGTTGTCTAGAGGTGAGGGGGTGGCAGGCAGCTCCTCTCTAGGCCCTGTCCCTATGGGCTGGGTTCACACCCACAGTTTTAAGACCTAGCCATGTGGTTGAGGCTTGTTGCCAGTCCCTGGCACTAGGAACCTTGGAAAGATTCTTGGAAGGCCACGGGCATAGGGCTGAAAGAGCTTGTAAGTAGTGTGTGACTTTATTAAGAACCTGCTGTGTACTCAACTCTGGGATGGACTGCTCTGTCTCTGGGCTTCCCAAGAGGCAGCCGGTGTCCTGTGACCCCTGATAGAACTCCAGGCTCTGGAAAATCCACGGGGGAGTGAGGAGACATCAGACTTGACTAGCAGCGGGCTTGGGGAGCAGAGAAAGGACAGAAGCAGAGGGATGCCTTACCACATTGCAGAGGAAAGGACCAGGAGGCCCACTGTGGGTTGGGGGGAAAGGATGAGGCAGGCTCTGGGTGCCCCTGCCCTCTGTCCCCCACATGGGGCAGGGCTGGGTCTCCCCCACCAACCATGATCACTGGCTGTTAAGCCAAGGCCCCTGCACCTGGGTGGGCAGCGCAGGACAGGCCATTGATGGGAGTTATGCTGAACAGGGGATGGAAGCCCCAGCCTGGCCAGTGCTGGACTGTGCGGGCCCAGCTGCTGCCTCTGGAAAGTGGGCTGGAGGAAGTGCTGAGTGAGGAGGCCTGGCGAGCTGGCACAGAATGTGCTGACTCTGCAGGGAGAGGACCACCGAGTGACCACTGCCAGCTGGGCCCTGCGCCCACCCCTCCCCCGCAGTCACATCTGGCGCAATGGTGGGGGAGACAGGGGGGCTTCAGTCCCTAGAGCCAAGGCAGCCGTGGAGGGGCCCACGGAGGGGGCTGGGGCCCTTTGGTTTGGAAGTGCCTCTCTTCAGGGCTGGAACTCTGGAGAAGCCCGGAAGTGGGGGAGGTGAGGTCAGAGCCTTTTTGAGGGACAAATCGAGTGGAGAGAGGGAAGGAACCCACCCTTCTCTGGGGCCCAAGGGAATTTGGTGGCTCTGGTCACCCTCCCAGCTCTCTGGGGCCCCTCCCCTGTGCCTCCCTGGGGAACTGGAAATACCAGCGCTGATATAACAGTCTGGGCTTTAAGGCAAAGCTCTGTGAGGCAGGAAGCCTCTTGGATCCCCTCGGCCACCAGCCCAGCCAGTTTCTCCCCTTCCTGACAGTCCCCCCCTCCGGAGAGGCCAGGCAGGCGTGGCTCTGCGGCCTGCTGAATGGTAACATTCCCTGTTCCCCGTACCGCCCCCCAGCCCCCGCCTTCCCAGGGTCCGGAGCTGGCAGAGGCAGGGAGGATCGTTACTACAGGAATGAGGAGAGGGGATCGCATCCCAGGGACCTTCCTCGGTGGAGGGATTTTGTTGAAGTTGTTGGCTGGGGCTTGCTGGGTGGGAGAGCCCCTTACATCAAGGTTGTGGGAGGCTCTCAGCCAGCATGTGGCAGGGAGAAGGAGGTAACAGAGTCCCTGCCCAGAGGAGAGAGCTGGTCAAAGCCAAGCAGGATGCCAGTCCTTTGGGCTGCAGCCCCGCAAACCCAGGACAGCTGGCAGGGAGACTGAGGCAGGAACCCTGAGGTTCTAATAGCAGCCTGGCGGAGCTGAGGGGAGGCTCTTTTCTCTCTCTGTCTCTCTGCTTTTGTTGTTCTGCCTCTGTTATCTTTAACTGTCATTTGGGTCTCTCTATATTTTTGTGTTTTCAATACCCTCATTGTCTCATTCATTCATTCATTCATTTTCTCTGTCTCCCTCCATTTCTGTGGCTTGCAGTCTCCACTCTCTGTTTCTGATCTTGCACATCCCTCTTACTCACTCCATCTTATCTGTGTCTCCCAATTATTCCTTCGTTTGTCCACTCATTCAGCCAGCATATTCCCTGGGTGCCTGCTGAATGCAGGCCCTGTGCTGGCTGTGGGGTCCCCAAAGAACTTGCGGTCTAGTGGGGGTGACACAAATAAACAGGCAAGAACATAGTGACTAGTCCCGAGTAGAGGTGAATCATTGTGCTAAGTCTGCATGATCTTTGAGTCACTCAAATATTTGTTGAATAAATGAATGAATGGTGAAATTCTTGGACTATTTTCTGTTGCAACATTCGTCTGCTTAGTATTGATTTGCAGGGTGCACTATATTTAGCATCTTTTCACATGTCCTGTTACATTTAGTGCCAGTGATCTTTAAAGTTGTCATTTGCATCAATATTTTAATACTTCCCTGATGTACCTAAGTGCTTCATTTTAAGCTGTCATATATTGACTTTTCCTTTATGATCTCAGACTCCATTGTTGTACGACCTTTGCCTTCACCAAGAATATATGTTTTCAATTAAATTTCCTGCCAAGATTTTATAATTTCATTCATATTTTTATTTAACTCTTTATTTTATCTTCATAAGTGTTGAGGGGTAAGAATATAACTTTAAAACAAGCCACTCTCCCAACATGAATCATAAATGAATCCATAAATGAATTGTTAGTGATCTGAAAGGCCCTTTTATCGTATACTTCATGTTTTTCTATTTGACTGGGCTTTCAATTCTGTTCCATTGTCTTATCAGGTCATTTTTACACTGATATTGCCCTGTGTTAATAATTGTGACTTTTAAATAAGGGTCATTAACTAAGAGTACAAGTCCTATTTATTTGTTTAAAAATTCTTCTTTCTTCTTGTCATTTGGATGAACTCTAGATTTTTTTTTTTTTGGCCAAGTTAAACAGAAACAAAACAAAATATCCCTCTGGGAATTGGAATTGGATTAAATTGTTAGATTAATGTAGTGATAATTAACTTCTTTGCAACATGGAGTCTTTCCATTCAGGAATATGGTGTATCTTTCTATTATTAAGGTTTTTTTAACTGTTGTTCTTCAGTGAAGTTTGATAGGTGAGTATGTGTTTGATGCTTCTTTTCATGAAACATGACAATGGCATCAATGTCTGAAATGTTTCTCAGTGGTCCTTGCTAGTCATGCCCTTGTAGAGTCTCTGTCCTTTGTGTGTGGGCGGGACCTAGTGACTCACTTCTGATGAACAGAATGTGGCAAAAAGTGATGGGGTGTTACTTCAGAGACTAGGTTGTGGGAGACTGTGACTTCTGTCTTGCTGGAACTCTCTTTCTGTCACTTGCCTGCTCTAACGAAAGCAGCTGCCAAGTTGTGAGCTGCCTTATGGGAAGCCCGTGTGGCAAGGAGCTAAGGCCCTCAGTCCAACAACCATGTGAGTGAGCTTACCTGTTTGAACCTTCAGATGAGACCTCAACCTTGGCTAACTACTTAAGTGTTAGCTTTGTGAGAGATCCTGAGACAAGGAACTCAGCTAAGCCACACCCAGATTCCTGACCCACAGCAACTGTGAGATAGTAAATGTTGCTATTTTAAGCCACTAAGCTTTGGGGGTAATTTGTTCTGCAGCAATGGATAACTAATGCAGCATCTTTATTTATTTTTGCATAGTATTTTCTAACAAGTTATCAGGAAGTAGAGAAGATACTAACTTTTTTGTAGTTATTTTATAGCTGGCCACTTTATTAAACCCTTCGGGTAATTTTGTGGTTTTTTCCCCCTAGTGTTTCTAAGAAGACAATCACATTTGCAAATACTTATAATTTGTTCTCCTCTTGTTATGTTTTTCTAATTGCATTAACTAGAATCTTTAGAATAATGTTGGATAACAAGACAGTAGAAACTTTTGTCTTGTTCCCACATTTAATGAAAATGCTTCTTGCATTTCACTATTTTATTGTTAACTGTGGGTTTGAAAGCTAATATTTTTATCATGTGAAATAAGTATACTTCAATCTCTAGTTCACTGGAGCTTTTTAAAAGAAAATCAACAATGGATGTTGAAATTTACCAAACATCTTTTCAGTGTGTAAAATGATCTTCTCCATTGACCTTTTGCTGTGGTCAGTCAGTTTCCTGCAGTTTTGACATAGCATCGTCCATGCATTCTAGGAATGTTTGCTCACAGTGACTTCTTTTAATGGTTCTAGGAACTTTCACTATAAGCATCTTTGCCACAAATGTTTACATCACATAGCTAATTGGCTGTAAGGCAATTTCACCATAAAAGATAAAATAATGAAAAATAAAAGAGGGGCATTAAACAGGATAGAAACATGAAACATGAAAAATGAATAACAAAATTAAAAAGACTTTGTTACAAAATACAGGATACTTGAATACACCTAAAGTGTGTGCAGGTTCGTGGCGATCCCCTCACATCACTGACTTTTATTTTGTGGGCTGTACCCGTGTGCTTGTCTTCCAAGTCTGTCATTCACAGTATTTTGTACTTTTGCTTGTTGATTCGTCTCCTCCATCGGCATCGCACTTTTTCTTTCTTGCTAAAATGTCTTCCTTCATTAGGAGAGGTATCCGTTTCCAAATCCTAGGATGCGCAGTTGTACCTGAGCTCTGTGTTGAGCTGTGAAAGCTTCTATACTGTCCTTTGTTCTTGGCACGATGTCACAGGT